TAAATTTTGTTTCAACTTTTGGAAGTAAAATCTGATGATCCGCAGTCCTTTAAAAGGGCTTTGGTGAAATAATTTATTACATGGAACCTTAAAGTGGTCTGTTTTTATTTAATATATATATATATATATATATATATATATATATATATATATATATATATATATAATGTGTGTGTGTGTGTGCGTATTAAGGCAGCAAATTCTCTTTTAGACATGTTTGATTGAATAAATTACTGACATTACGTCTGATAATTTTGAACAAAATCCGTTCATACTCACGAATAACCTTCCGTGTATCAACATCAATACACGGAAAGTTATTTGGGAGTATGAACAGATTTTGTTAAAAATAACATAATGTTTGTAATTTATTCACACACACACACACACACACACACACACACACACACACATATTTAAAGTCCGACCTGTTTTAAAAATTGTAAAAAAATGGGTCTGACATTGTCTAAAAGCTATTTTAGTTTCTGATTTTCTATAAATATTTTATTTACTATAAATTATAATTATTATTTTCTATAATATCATTTTATTAAATATTTCATTATTATTATTATTATTATAATATATTATTAATATATATTTAATATATACATATATAATATTACAATATATAATAATATATAATATTATATATTATATATATTATTATATATTATATCATATATAATATATATTATATAATATATAACAGATATTTTAATATATATAAATATACTATTAATATAATAATATATTATCTTAATATTATTTTAATAATTCCCTTAAGTATCATTTTATTAATTATAATTATTATTTTCTGTAAATATCATTTACTATTAGGTTGGTGCAAAAATAATGACGTAATGATGTCGTTTTTTTGACGTTAAAACATACGTCCAAAAAACGACATTATTACGTCATTATTTTTGCACCAACCTAATATATTCTATTAGTTTATGATTTTCGAAACTATATATATATTTTAAAATTCCAACATGTTTTAAAAATTGTAAAAAATGCGCTGATATTGTCGAAAAGCTCTTTTAGTTTGGTTGTTCTGTGATATTTTTAACGGAAAAAGTTGAAGTCAACAAATATTGTCAATATATGCTCTACGGTATATCTTTCTTTATATGTCATACACATTGGGGATAGTCAATTTTTAGTATATATAAACGAGTAAGAGAGAATATGGAGTCTGGTGAGAGCTACGTCTTATTTTGCTATTTCGCTTTGTACTGAAGGCCATATTCTGTCATTGACTTTAATATTAAACAACTTGTTTCGGATGGAGTTCTCTTGCCGCTTTCCCAGAATGTATTTATTAATAATTTATAATAATTTTCTTCAAGTCTGTGTACGGTATTTTGTTCAGTTTTAATAGAAAACAAGTTTAACATGTCTCAGATTGAATTGTTTTTTTTTTTTACGGCTTAGTAACACTTTGTATATTGTTTAAAGCCAGAAAATATTTTCAGATCGTCAGATTTTTGGATATAATTATTTAGTGAAACTAGACTTACTAATTAACCCATAGCTGGGGAGAGAAGAGATGTAATCATAACTTTCCATCGGGTCTTTGCGCGTAAGTAAATATAACGAAACCAATGGGAATTGGAACTCGGCTCTCCAATTAACAATTCCGAGCCATTATCCATTACAACACACATCTAAACTTACAGCAGCTGGTATGCCCATCGGGCACCCATCTTCGTACTGACCAGGCACGACGTTGCTTAACTTTAGTGACCGCAAAACCAACATGTCTCATAATTCAAGGAGCCTAGTGTTTCCACCTTTAAAGCATGATACACCACTAGGATAACGGATTCTTCTATTGCCGTGTCCCTTCAGGAATTAGACGATCATGACACTCCACTACTTCCGGTTCCTTGTAGCTCTTAGTAAGGTTCTATTTTGTTGCTATATCTCCTATTCTCTGTCTATATTTTTGAGATGAGGTATTGTAATTATTTATACGATTTACATTGTTAGGACTGTTGTCCTCATCTTTGTTGCCATATTCACGACGTTTCTACCCGGCCTTCTTCAGGTGATTAGATTTTCGAACTGAACCCTTTATTTCTTCCGCCAGTGTAAATTGTTTTAGTTCCACGTGTCATGGCTCTTCTGGATGTCTCAGTTATCTTCCTTTAACTTAACTTACCAAGTTTTTGTTCTTTATTGCAGTAGCCAGGTATTGAACTCAGAACTTTTGGGCCAAGTCACTGGATGCAGCCAACGCTTTTTTATCTACTGGGTCATGTACCCTTGAGGACATAAGTCTATTAATTTTTGGGACTTATGATCATAATGTCTCTGTAACCATTTTTAACAGCGCCCATATTGCAATTTTTGTTGTTGTTATTGCTTTTCTCTATCACTCTGTATTACTCGTTCCAATATTGTATTCATTTCTATACTTGACCGGCTTAGGAGATTTTTGTGGCCTAGCATATGTGCTGATTCCTTAAGTTTTCGTATTTTCCATTATGGTTCTCTGATTGTTATTTCAACCTCATTTCACAACCTCCATAACTTTTTAGTTATATACATTATATTTCAGACTAGTCACAATACATTACATTGCATCTAGACATGGTTCTATTGTAAATATTTCGATCTCTCACGTGGTACGAGGTCATAGAACCACATCATGAATTTACACCCTGCGTCTGCTATTCCGCGACCATTATCGTCGCATAGCAATCTTTTATGTCAACATAACAGAATATCTTTAATAGTGAACATCTTGTCTAAATGTCCATATAAGCCCTCTGAAGATGGCTTATGTGAGTCGAAATCTTAGATCAAAGAAAATAATCTTTCCCCACTTGCACATATATAAATCTGCCATTCGTCCGAGAATTATATATTTTGCCACCACATCTGGTCTGCTGCTTCTAGTGTGCATCTAGATATTTTTGATGCAATAAAAAAAAATGAATAAATCTGTAAATCTGTCATCTCGGCTCCAATAACATTCCAATCACCGTAACATAGCTTCATTGCAACTTTTCTATATATATATATTTGCCTTCCATCAGCAAGGCTGATACTAAACACCGGGAGAATCACACATTTCGACTTTTCTGTCTAAAGATTTCCAGTGCCACGAGGTTGGGGAGGGAAACGATTATATCGACTCAGGAATCCTCTACTATATTGAATATTAGTTCCACCTCTGGGCTGGTGTTTCTGCTAATGATGTATCTACAACCAAAATTCAAAGGGGAATCTGCAATACTATCGGTCCTTATCGGCTTCAATCATTTTCCACATCGTCGTAATGTAGCTTCTCAGTGGATTTCTATAAAAAAAATTCATGTTATGTGTTCTGATGAGCTTTCCTGCTTGATGCCTAGATTCCATGAATTTAAGCGTGGTACTAGATTGGCAGTTAGGTCTCATTATTACACTGGAATTTACAAAATGTAATGGTCATTTGTATTGTAATAGTTTCTTCTCACCAGCTTCTACAACTCTCTTCCAACATATTGAGTTCATGTCCAGTACGATCTGAAAAATATAAATGCAGTGTCAAATGTTATGTTAGGTCTCCTAGAATCATGTTGATTTTCTTGTCCTTTCTCCTCAGTAAAGTCTTGTCTTCTCATTTTCCTTGCTGACCTCGCAACGAAGATCTACAAAAATTGAAATCTAAAGTCAATCGACATCATACGTCTCCTTGAATTATGTTGATTTTCTTGTCCTTTCTCCTCAGTAACGTCTTCTCAGTTTCTTCGTTGCTTTCCTGTCAACTAAGATCTTCAATAATTTAAACGCAAAGTCAAACATTATCGTACTTCTCCTTGATTCTTGTTGTTTATATAGTCCTCGCTCCTCTTTAAAATCTTATCAATTTCAGTCTTGTCAACTAATATCTTCAAAAAATTAAAGGCAAAGTCAATCGATATCATAAGTCACCTCGAATCCTGTTGTAGTCATTGTCATTTCCAAACAGTAACGTCTTCTTCGTTTACGTCTTGCTTCCCTGTCAAGAAAGATCGTCAAAAACTTAAATCCAGAGCCAATCGATATTATAAGTGTCCTTGAATCATGTTTTTATTGTTCTTTCTCCTCAGTAACATCTTTTCAGTTCCTTTCTCGCTTCCGTTTGAACAAAGATCGTCAAAAAATTAAATGTAAAGTTAATCGCTATTATACGTCTTATTGAATTCTGTTGGTTTTGTCCCTTTTCCTCAGTAACGTCTTTTCAGTTTCATACTTGTTTTCCTGTCAAGTAAAATTATCAAAAATGTAAATGCGATGTCAATCGTTATCTTACGTCTCCATGAATCCTGTTGTTTATATTGTCTTTTCTTTTCAGTAACGTGTTCTCTTTCTTTCACTACTGCCGTTCTACCTCGGTAATGCATTGGCGCATTATCGTTAATAGAGAGTGAGATGCCAGGGGAGGTATGCCTGTCTTTCAAAGTCCTTGTTTTGGTACAAAAATCTTCTTGTCATACCTCAAATTTAAAGAGGCGTTAAAAGTTCCACATTTTACATCCGATGTCAAAGAGGAAATTTCTTTGACGAATTATGCCAAGAGTAAAAGAAAAAAAAATTCTCAAAATGTACACAGAACGCTTTCAAAACAAAGGTGTGGCACCAGATGATGACGTAGAACGAAAATATTTTCATCAAAAGACATCGCTAATTCAATGACATAAACATGTTTTGAATGAGCCGATCAAATTACGAGATCAGAAGATCAGAACATCGATCGCTTAACATGGTCGTAACAGAAAAGATCAGACACCGTTCCTACATATATATATATATATATATATATATATATATATATATATATATATATATATATATATATATATATATATATATATATATATATATATATATATATATATATATATATATATATATATATATACGTTTTTGCATTTTCATGTGTTGAAATAAATTTTTTATGCATATCTCTTGATTAATATTTGGATTTTTTCCAGCGCCTGTAATCTGAATTAGATAATATTTAGGATATCGGACCACAATCTGAATATTATCTATCTATCTATCTATCTATCTATCTATCTATCTATCTATCTATCTCAATCGGTTAATAGTCAACTCTCTCTTTCTTTCTCTGTATATATATATATATATATACATATATACATATACATGCATGAGAGATGAATAGACTGACAGATAGAAGAAATAGACTGATATAGATGGATATCAAGAGACATATATATATATATATATATATATATATATATATATATATATATGTGAAAAGTGTATATAAATATAAATAAATATATATATGTATAATTATTTATATATTATATGCGCGGTACTTATTAGAAAGCGCTCAATATCAGAGATAGAGCTAACATATTTGGTTGGATAGATGTGAGTTTGTGACCCAGGGTTTCACACTTTAGCGATCGTCAGACAAACTGATTAATGTTTTAAAAAATTTGTCCCGACGGACGACCAAGTATGTATATGTGTCTGCATACATCGATGTTTGCGTTAGTACGATGAATGACAAAACGACGAAGTTTCCCCCACCACTTCCACAATAACACCAATACACGCAATCTACATAAACCCAAATTTTTTAAAACATTAATCAGTTTGTCTGACGATCGCTAAAGCGTGAAATCCAGGGTCACAAACTCACATCTATCCAACCAAATATATCCATATATATATATATATATATATTATTTATTCAGCTTTAATATTGCTATGTATTACCGTCCAGTTAGTATTATTAATATCTTACAGAGATGTTCCACATTATTCATTTTTCTACAGGCCACTTTAAGAAGTTTTCTGAATATAAACCTTAAAAAATTCTGTTAACTTTACGTCTGATTATCCTACCCCTCACTTCAACCCCTTTCAAATAATTGAATGTGTCATATTTGTCTGCATTTAAGATATATTTCTCGCTTACATATTTTCCAGAATTGTCAATTATGGTCTGTCTATGTTCGGGTTTAACATGGCATGATGAAATGACCCCCGCCCCATTTTCCGTCATTTGAGCTTACCTTTCTATTTAGCGTAGGCCTGACATTTAATTGTCAATCAAGACATACCCACATGTCAATTTTAATTCTGACCTGATGCCCCCCTTTAACTTTCGGAAAAGAGGCAACACTTTGTTTTTGCATTTTTTTTAAAAATCATTTAATCACTAGTTACTGACCATCGTCTGAAGAAGTACAATCAAAGTATTGAAACATGAGAGCTTTTGTAAGCGATTTCTACTTGTTTTTATTATTATAATCTCTTAATAATAATATATATATATATATATATATATATATATATATATATATATAAAAATTTGGTTTGGTATCTGTGGATAATTCCTAACAGGATGTGACCCAGAGAGCACAATGTAAAAACAGAGCAAATACTAATTAAATAATTAAGAAATAGACAACATTAATTTTCCATAACTATAATAGTCATGGAAACTTAAAGTTGTCTACTGCTTAATTATTTAATTTATATATATATATATATATATATATATATATATATATATATATATATATATATATTATGAAATGGACAAAGTCCGAAAATTATTTTTAAGATATTTTTATGTTTATACATTCTTTTTTAGATACAAATATTTAAGTATTTTTATGTTCATTATAAACAGAGCATTTACTTAAATATTTGTATCTATAAAAAGAATGTATAAACATAAAAATGTCTTAATATATATATATATATATATATATATATATATATAAATAAGAGAAAGAACAAATGAAGTAAAACTACACAGTTCATAGGATTTATTTTTAAAAAAGTGCTGAATATAAAGTAGAGCAAAAGATTATTATAATATTTTATTTATACGAGATTATAATAAAAATATTCTACATGTTTACTTACCCTCGCCTGAAGAAATGCAATTAAAGTATTGAAACATGAAAGCTTTGTAAAATGGTTTTATTATATTTCTCGTATAATTCAAATAATATAATAGGCACACACACACACATATATATATTATTCAAACTTTATTTGAGTAGAACTTTATTTAAACTGGTTTATTTTGTCTAACGGCCTTTATTTCCCATGTTGACGATACTTTTGTATCCGATTTTAAAGCATAAAATGTTCCCCATTTTACAAAAATATATTATATTGGTGTGGCACTAAGAATCTTTTTATATCACACACACACAGACACACACATATGTATATATACATATATATATATATGTATATAAAGATACTTATCTATGTATATGTGTATTTAATGATATATATATGTATATATATATATTTATAGTTCTGTTATATGAAAAAGACCGCTGTTTCAATGACATCAGCACTTTATGTGCGATTCATATATTTATATATTTACACACACCCACACACACCCACACACATATATGTATATGCTTACTGCTTGATGGTGCTTTATTCCTGCATGGCAGCTGGAACGATACTCTGATCTCTTCATAGCTACCTCTTCTAAGTTCTTGAATGGAATGTTGTTCTAAGAAAGGTTACTCTTCAATTTATCTTTAAACCTAAGACAGGGTCTACCAACATTTCTATGACCACTATGGAGTAGCTTTTGGTATAAGACCATCACTCATCCTTGCCACATGGCCAGCCCAACGAGCCATGTGACTGCACTACGAAGGTCTCGATGGTACCAATCTTGCATTTCTCAAAAAAGTCGGTATTTGACACTCGATCATCAAACGTTAGGTCACATATTGTACGGAGACAACCTTTATGAAAGACATCTAATCGATTAATGTGCCATCTATAAGGTGTCCAAGTTTCAGAGCCACACAAAAGAGTTGATAAAATGACAGCTTTGAACACTTGGATTTTAGTGCAAAGCTTTATTCCCCTTTCGTCCCATAACCTATGACGCATCGAACCAAAGGATGCGCCGCCGGCTTTTGCAATGCGATTAACAATCTTGTCATCAAGTGATGCACTTGAATTTACCATGCTTCCGAGGTATTTGAAAAATTTCGCATATTTGAGATTCTTTCTATCAATTTGTAAAGAGATCTTAGGAAACTTACGAACAAGGCTCTCTGTTTTACACTTTGAATTTGCTTCGGGGTCGAGAAAGGTTGATGAATAATTTCAGTTTTCTTGACGTTTATCGTAGGTCCAAACGCCTTAATGCCATAGAAAAGCGGTTGAGTAAATCTTGAGCTTCCTCTAAAGCATTAGCTACAAGGACGGCGTCGTCTGCAAAAAATAGATCTTGTGGTAAGCAAAAAGTACATCGCTTATAATACTTGTAGTTCGAAGCGTTTTAGACTTAAACTGCTGATGGTTAAACAGTCCTCCATCAGTTCCAAAATGAAATTTAACCCCAGTTTTTTGTATCACGGGAAGCATGCATCAGCATAATCGAGAAGAACAATGAAAAAAAAAGGTGCCATGACACAGCCATGACACAGACTTGTTTAGTTTCATTAGTGACATCAAATGGATCAAAACGCTCACCATCAGACATAACGCTAGCTTGCATACCGACATGAAATGAAATGACGACATTCAACATGCCAGGAATACCAAGTTTTATTCAGAACTTTCCAGAGTGCTTCTCTGTTTGCAGTATCAAAGGCCTTCTCTGTAACCTGATGTAGAGCAAAAATCTTGTCGATAGTGCTACGACCGGAGCGAAATCCACACTGAGATTCAGGGTAGATGGCGTTTTTTTTTTTTTACAATTCTGTTGAGGATGACCCTCGCCAAAATTTTTCCGCTGATAGACAAAAGTGAGATACCTCTATGGTTATCGCATACTGTTTTAAGACCTTTTTTTCTTGTAGAGGGGTTGCACGGAGACATTTTTGAAGTCCTGAGGAACATGGCCTGATCTCCAAATTCAAATGAACAGATAGTGCAGTTGCTTACAAAGTGTATGCCCTCCATGTTTGTAGATTTTAGCAGGGATAGCATCCTCACCAGGATATTTTCTAGACGATATCTGCTTGATAGAAACTTGTACTTCTTGAAAAATGGCTTCCAGAGATAACTTAGGATGTTGTGGTACAGCGAACGGAGCTTCATCATCTGTGAATGAGGTGCAGTTTTAAACAATCTTTCCAGCACTGATGTATGGCTTCTTTATCAGTTAGGAGAGTATCCTCGTCATTGGTTAGAATTGGAGAGACGCCATGCTTTTGGGGAAAATACACTGCTTTTTAACCATCATAAAAAGCTTTTGAGTTTCTTTTTTTGTCAGAAGTCATTTGGAATTTGGAGCTGTCTTGACTGACCAACAGTTCTTTTTCATTTGTTTGAGGGAACGTTGTAATCTTGCTTTACACCTTTGGTAGTTGGCTTTTTTTTACTGACAGTTTTTGTTATTTATCTAGATATTATGATCTCATCAATCAATTTTTGGACTTCTGTATCATTTTCATCAAACCAATTTTGATGTTTGCGCAGTGGAAGTCTGAGAACTTCCAGAAAGGCAGCATGAGTTGCTTTACGCAATGCCTCCCATAATGATTCAACGTCAACTGTGATAAAACCTGCCGAAGAGTAGTGTCCAGTTTATCACAAAGATCGGCTTGCATTTGATGGTTTTTCAGCAATGAGACATTAAGGCATTTTGATACAGATGGCTTTTGTAACCGTTTATGTTTATGTTTAGGAGGAAACTTGACTTTGTTAGTGTTGTGGGATCTTACCCATAATAATAATAATAATGGACTATTCCATACTTAATAAATACTGCACCTCAGGGTTCAGGCAACAAACTCTCTTCCTACGGGCGGGGGAACCCGAGTCAGTAGTTCGCCGACTTTTCGAACAGAACCCGTTCTCGGTTTGAACTCTTCCTACGGGCGGGAGCCTTGTAACCCAGAAACTCTCTTCCTACGGGCGGGAGTAACCCGGGAGGCTACGCCGAAGGGCGGAGTCTCCTTCGGGGAGGTAAACTCGGCCCTGAACCCGTTTATACGGGTTCAAATGGAAACTATTTTTGGCCGAGCCTAATGGCTCGGGAATGCCCACGTTAAAAAGGCCTTGTGCCACATGACACCCTCGTGGGGGGGGGTGACTGAATATTGTCAGTAGTTCAAGTGGAGTCAGTATTTCAAGTCGAGTCAAGAGTCGAGTCAGAGGCAGTCCGAAACAGAATCGCGTTCAGACAATTACTGCAAGACATTGGAATAGAGATACTGGTCGAGATTACATTGTTCTCTCTACTAAATCTGATTGTTCATACTAACACTTCTACTTCCCTGTATATATTCCTGTTTGTAATATATCTGTGTTATTCCATACCTGTGTTCGAGTTCTTCTTTATTGGTTCTACCCTTGGACTCTCACCCGGGGTACAAGGAACCGGACCATAACAGTTAGATGTCAAGCCGACCTCAAATGTCATGACCGTCATATGTATGCAGATAATTAGTAGGTGGTCATCTGAATCTCATACGTCGAACTCGACGGGAGAGTTCTCCGGCCACTGGCGTGTCTGTCTAAATTCAAATACGTCTAAAATCAACTTCATCCCTGCCGTGCGCCAATGGCTTAGGGGTAAAATCTCCGACAAATCTAGATACCAAATCAGTAGTGTGCCGATCCCGGCTTGAGGCAATCGGATGATTAGCTACACTAATGAGATGTGAAACAGCAAATGAATAAATATATATATATATATATATATATATATATATATATATATATATATATATATATATATTTTTATATGTATATGATACGATATATATATATATATATATATATATATATATATATATAGATTTATATGATAGGATAGATATATATATATGATAGGATATATATATATATATATATATATATATATATATATATATATATATATATGTATGTATGTATCTGTGTGTGTAGGTATATTTAATCCGCCTGTTCTTATCTATGTGCTTCTATTCACACCTACGAAAAGTAGTGGGCTGTTTGAGTCATGGGTATCCTCCACAGTGAGAACTTACCAGTTTGCAAGGAGATCTTGCGATGTTTGCTTCGCTTAGTGAGCGATAAGAGACGAGAGCTGTGACAGGAAAATCGTAGATGCTTCATTCCGACAATGCCCCTGCTGACAACGTTCTGAGAATGCATCGCTGTACGAGAACATCCTCCCTATTCATCTGATCCGTGTGACATTCACAAGGGGATCACCAAATAGGCCCGTTTTGAATGCACCGAGGCCATAGAGACGGCAGTAACCGAGAACCGAAGGGCATAGAGGCGTGACAGAGAAGGATGGAAAAGTTCATTAAACTCGAAGGGGATTATTTGAAAGGGAAAAGATGTACTTTGTTGTTTGGAACTCCTCATTATCTATCTATCTATCTATCTATCTATCTGAAACTCCTCTATATCTATCTATCTATCTATCTATCTATCTATCTATCTGAAACTCCTCAATATCTATCTATCTATCTATCTATCTATCTATCTATCTATCTATCTGAAACTCCTCAATATCTATCTATCTGGATGCGTGGATAGACGTGCCAGTGACGTTCCGTATATTTTCCTGTTTATCATATAAATTTCAATGAATTATTCCTTCTGTTCACATTAAAGACAGTCTTCATTGTTAATGAATTACAATTTATACACATTTTGATGGACTGTTAAAAAAAATCAAATAAAGAATTGTTTTTTCAGCAGTCATGTTAAAGTTGCATCACCAAAAGACATCGTATTAATTTAATCTTTCTATATTTATCTCACCCTGTCATGATGTGTCTTAATTTACGCTATTTAATTAATCTCTCAATCAATTAACCGATCGATTTAAAAAAAAGCTTGTGTTTGATTTTAAACATCTGTTAGAGTTTTATCTTATATTGATCATGATATTCCTGTATTTATCTCAGTCTTCCCACATCTATGTATTCTGATGTATAATATAAGAGCAATTAATAAAAAGTAGCTAAACAACCAATATATTTCCTATAGAAGTCGGATGCTGAGCCAGCTGGACCTTAGTTCACTTGAGGAAACTTTGTCGTAAACAGAAAAAAATGAAAATGATTCCAGGATAGGGCAGAAGCACCAGCTACATATATCTGCCTTTGCTATCCTGTGACGGAAAACTATCAAACATTAGCGATATCGTGAGGTACTGCTGAAGCACCTTCGACTAGTAGTAACGATACGTTTGGCCCGGAAATTATGCACGATCCCAAGGTTACCATCGGACGAAGACTTTGTTGGAGGAACCGCTTCTGTTTATTTTTTAGCAGCAATTAGAAAATATCTATTAGATATCTATTAGAAAACGTGACGGTAGGGTGTTTAGATAACCCAAGGAATAGTTTTGTGCAATTTCTTTTTCCAAAAGTAAAGTAATCTGCTTTAATCGTTTTGGAAAATCATGTTTTGCATGGCTGATGCTAACCTTCAGAAAAATAACTCCTTCCACCTTATCGGTCTAACGTTTTCCACTGCTACAAGGAGGAACGATTATATCGAGTCAGGAATTATCTTCGTCGTCAAATATTGCCACATCTGGTCTAGTGCTACTGATAATGATGTATCTAGAGACGAGATTCAAAGAAAAATCTGTGATGTTTTCAGTCCTGACCTGGCATAACTTCTGCAACTCCTGTCCACACAATTCAAAACTGTTGCAATTTCTGTTCCCACAATTCAAAACTGTTGCAATTTTTGTCCCCACAATACAAAACTGCTGCAATTTCTGTCCCCACAATTCAAAACTGCTGCAATTTTTGTCCCCACAATACAAAACTGCTGCAATTTCTGTCCACACAATTCAAATCTATAAGTTTAATCTATTAGTAGTCATTATTTTTTTTACCAAGAAATGAATGAAGGAAAAGAAAAATGTCTGATATTAAAAAAAAATTCTATACACTGGCATGTTTTCAGCTTAAGTGGGATGCTTTAAGCTGTATATTTATTGAACACTACTAACAAAAAAGCTATACAAATAGAAACTTCCACGCTTTCTATGGAATAATTAGGTTTCTTAAAAGACGATATAAATTCATATCCAGAAGAGAGGCGTCGGGAAAAGAAAGAACAGACAAATCGATTCCTGGCATCTACCAAAATATCACCCATTCCATATATTAGATATTTCTTTGTAACATTATAGGTTCAGCTTTATTAATAGAAGTGCCTGACCAAAACAAAGAGCATATATGTACAGCGATCAAAAGGCGCCACAATATCGTTTAAAACGGTTGTCGATAATTCTTTATATTTTCACAAGGTCGAGGCATTAATAATTGATCAGCATCGCAAACGCCAGAAGGAAGAAAGACAGAAAGAAACAGATTTACAGTAGATTATAATCAGAATCGGTCCTTTGAGATCGGAAAAGAGTCTCAGGTATGATAATAATAATAATGGTTAAAAAAGTCGTTTCCATACAGGAAACATTAGGCAGTCATTGGCTGAAGGATTAACATTACCGCCAGTTTTTTTCAGGAAAACAAGTTGTTATGAGTCTTTTAGATAATTGTTTCTTTCTTAATCTTTTATTTAAGGTAGGGTGGAAAGTCAACGTCTTGATTATATCATTATTTTCCATTCTAGTAATATATATATATATATATATATATATATATATATATATATATATTTCAATAAAGGTGCAATTAATTTACAAATTCATGCATTAATAAAAAAACAAATTTAATGATTTAATTGGCAATTCAAATAATATTGATAAATTTCTGTTGCATAAGAATTTTACAAGCTTTCGTCTGTTCCTAAGATATCCTCAGGTATGGAATAGATTTTGTTCTTGTTTTTTACTCTCAGTAATAAGAGGACAACGAAAATAGATTGAAAAAATCTATTAGAAATGAGTTATTGTTTTTGGAGCGTGCAGTCGCAACGCTGAGTTTAAATTTAAATTTTACAATTGTGCGTTCTTATACAAATATGGTGATAAGTGAATTCTTTTTTGATTCTAATAGCATTTTTCAGATTACAACAATACATATATTTCCTTTGTCCTCTTATTACTGAGAGTAAAAACAAGAACAAAATCTATTCCATACCTGAGGATGTCTGTAGGAACAGACGAAAGCTTGTAAAAATAATAAGAACTTATGCAACAGAAATTTATAGAAACAAGGATCTTTTCATTCATAAACAGGTTCGGGGTTTTTGTATATTATTTGAATTGTTCGCGACGATGGATTTCTCGCCAATTAAATCATTAACCTTTGTATTTTTTGTATAATTCATGAATAATTATATATATATATATATATATATATATATATATATATATATATATATATATATTGATGCATGTTTCATTAAATAATATAGACACGTTTTGTTTATTTAAGCAAGTTCCTTTCATATTGTTTGATAAGCTTAATCACATTATCATTGAAAGACGAAAGGAAATCTCCATATTGATACATGTTTAAATTGAATGTAAGCTTTCGGCCTACATCGGCCATTATCAAAGATGACAATTACATTTCAATTTATCAACCAATACACGGAACAATAATGATAGCCTGTTTTTGTTGCATGAAAAATTTCAAAGCAACGACTAACACGTGACCACGCGAGAGTGAAAACGAGAAGTATTATGACACGTTAGTTGGTGAGGAAGGGTCGTTACGAATGATTGGACTGATTTAGTGTGGTATATAGTTAATTTTATTTTTTTTTTACTACGGGCTGTGGTGGAAATGTTAATATTTATTAATTTACCATCTACTCTCTCTCTTTCTCTCACACACACATGCATGCGCGCACACACACACATATGTATGAGTAGATGAAATTATAACAATTTAGACGCGTTCATGTTGGTTGGCTGCACAATCAGTAAATAGAATACTTGCAGGATGGACCCAAATTTTTTAAATGTTCTTCGAGAACATCGTCCGGTCTATGCCAAAAAGAATTGTGACGCTTTTAAAGGCAAAAGGGGATCGAACGATGTACTGGAAGAGAATGAATTATAAATTGACCGTTGGGTGCATATTTAAAATGGCGTCCTTTTTTATAGCACAAGTTTTCTTCCTTGTTTCAATTCACTCCAAGCAAGGCGAAAATGACACTAAGATGCAAGCGTCTGCTTAGAGTGAAAGAGAATGAAAAAGTCTTTAGAAGGAACTGGAAACCCAATCCTAAATAGGAAACAAGGGACAAACCCTCTACTCCAAAACTCTGTTCAAAAGATCGCGGAGAAGTGTGATGCGGACTGTGGGCGAGTTGAATTATATTTTAGAAGTACTGAAAACCTCAACAGACAATGATACCAGAGTGTCTCACATGAAATGCTTGAAGAAATGAAAAGTAGGAGTAAAGGAATTAAACTGTTTATTTTCCTCGGGAACTAATTTTATCCAAAGGCAGATGAATATTTTATTAGTATAAGTTGTTAAAATAACTAAGGGAAGTAATCCCTCATAAATACGCTAACTTAATTTGGTTATCTTCCTTCCCACTACAGATGGGACAGGAAGCATATAAATAAATAAAATAAATAAATCATTTATATAATAAATTTATCTGATACATTTGAATCCAAAAGAAATAAAAAAAATTTTCATGGGCAACGGATGTATTCGAAATTTGGCAGGAGATTGTGTCGTAATTTTTGACACAGATGGTAACTACTGTCGCCAAAAAGCAGGTCAATTATTAATTCATTTTATTTTCATATTAAAGAAAGTTTTCAGTGAAATTTTAAGAGGTGAAAAATGCAATTTTTTTGTCTCCATTTGCTTTGCATTATATTTGTCTTGTCACTCGTTTATAAATTAAATTTCAGGAAATATGATTATTTAGAAAGAAAATATATATTTGCAAATCGTGGCAACACTATAAATTATCTTTTAGCCATTGATCTGTTTATTTTCCTAACCTCACCTTCGAAATATGAAATATTTATGCTTGTATAAGATTTGTACCATGAAAAGTACTCGGATCGTTTTCCAAACGTGGAGATACAATTCTGCACTTTTTAGTCAGAGACCACTGAGGCGGTGGTTCGTGGTGGGTTAGGGTTAAGAAAGATTTTTTGTTTGTGTATTTTCTTATCAAGCAATAATCAGCAGGTAAGAACAAAAGCTAAACAAAGCAAAAAGATGGCAAGAATTCAATCTTCGAAAAACACACTCATCTACAGACTTTTGCCCACATATTCTTTCTGTTGTATAAGAGTAAGTATCGTTGCCGACACTGTAGTTTGAAACTAGATCGCCAGTAACATGGGCGATTCCATTATCAAGTAGATCACGTGATCACAAAGGAAGTGAATAAATAGGAAGTAGCGTGATCACTATCACTCTCCTTGTCTATCCATTATTGCTGTACTTTCGCTCTCTATATTCTACTACCATACAGATTACGATTCTCTTCTGTTCATTATACTATTTGGCGATTATTACATGTTGTGGTGTCCTCACTGAAGAGTCTATGTTGGACTCTTCCGCCTACTATAAAGTTAGTAGGAGAGAAGGTCTTGGGGAACAGTCGAATATACTGTTCATCTGTCG